TAAAATCATCCGACTTGTCATTGATGACCCCAACTTACTGCCTCTGAGTCGTCCATCCATTTGACCGAGACTCAGTTAAGTCTAACCCAACGTGCGACAGCGACCACGCTATGGCGGTTCCCGTAACCAGCTTAACATACACCGTACTATGCTCTGCTGAGGCTGAGTACATGACAGTGCACATTAGCCGGATAGGTGCGAGGCGTCAGAAGGCAACAGACTTAATATTCGTGAGGGATTTATAATTTCGATCTCACCTATCGACATGGCCGCGCACATGTCCATTACTAGCGTTCAAAATACATTCAACATGCATTCACAAAACGTAGTAAATAAACGTGTAATGATTGTGGCCCCTAAAAGAAAAATAAAACGATAGCTCCCACTGGCTTCCGGGCACTTGGACTTCGGGCTATCTCCATTCTTTTAGATTTCTTCAAACGTTCTTCAAATCTTTTCGTCTTCTAACCACCACGTGAGAAAAGAATCCTCGGTTGAGGTAAGAGAGAAAAATAGATTTACAACAAGAGTTTATGAGATAAGGCACGACACGCAGGCCGTATTATAATCAAATAAACTATAGCCACAATCATCCACCATGCATATCATACATCCACACAAGCAATAGAGATATACATACACCGGGTGAACCGCGCTCACCCCAGACAGTTCTAGAAAAATACTACGATAGTAAATATTTTCTAAAACTCATAAAATTAAATTAGATGTCCAAATAAATCTAATAAAACTTTATAAAAAGCATTTTATGCATTCTGGATATTCTGCCAGCATAAAAAAATATTCAGAATATTCCAAAAGACCAAAATGCCCCTTTTGCAAAATTATATTAAAAAAGGCCATTAAAATTTTGAAACAATTTTGCAAAAATCATTAAAATTAAATTTCAACTTCCAGTGGTTATTTTTAACATTTATAAACCTGGAAATAAAATTTCCAAAATTTATAAATCATTATTTCCAAAATATATTAGTTAAATCTCAATAAGTTATAAAAAGCCATTTAAATTTATTTCGAAAATATTAAATTACAAAAATTTAATATTTTGAAAAACATTCTTTTTCTTACTGAGATATAACTTTCCAAAATATATATTAGTCATTTATGTAATTAAAATACAAATATATAAATATATATAATATTTCGGTAATAAAACCGAGTACATATATAAATATATATTTATTTAATTACTAACTAATATTATTTTGAA